TTAAAGTCAAGAGTAGAAAAGGCCGAAGCCAGCCTCGTTGACAATATCACAGACCCCAGCGGGGAGCTCGTAGTACTAGTCTCTGGCCGTCACTACTCCATATCCCTTGTAGGCCCGAGAGTCTTTCTGTGACAAAGAATAGTGAATCAGATGAAGAACAGTGATAAATGAACACTTAGAATAAAGGCAATGTAAGAAATACAATTCGAGAAAGGCAAAAATACATGAAAATAGAGTTGTTTTTACCTCTGTGGCACCGTAAGAGAGATGGAAGTCTGGCTCCCTTAGCAGAAGGTCCTCTGGCACCCCACGTGCAAAGTCATTAAAGTGTCTGATGCCTCTTGGTGGTAATATATGTGTGCGGGGATGGTACGTCTCTAGATCAAAGGGCCAAATCCCCAGTGGTAATGGCCGATCCTCTTGGGCTGAATTTCCAGAAAACAGTTGTAAACATATAGAATATCATAGTTCAAAACTCAATTTTGAGAAATCAAAGCCTAAGGGTGTTTAATCGAAACCCAATTTCAAACCATTTTCCAAGGACAATCCTCAAACATGACATGCATGATCTTCAAACCATTTTGAAGCTTCAATTTGATGCTCTAGGGGGCCAATTGATCCAAAAACAAGTTGAAAACATGGACCATTACAAAATTATGAACATGCATGTTCCATTTCACCATGGATTCAACTCAAACTCATCAATTCAAACATGCATACATGAATTATGTTCTAATCCTACATGTATGAACTAAAACATGGCTTAACTCTACAAATGAAGCATGAATCATGCAAGAATCAAGTCTATGACAACAACAAGAAGATGAATGTCCTACCTTAGTCTTGTGTTCAAGGTTTAGGTGTCCAATTTGACAATTTGCACTTCAATTCCAAGCAATTCAAGCCAATTCACTGGAACAATTCAACTCTCTCCCTTCCTCTCTCTCTAAGGCTGGTTGAACAAGGAGAAGGAACTAATGAAATGTTTTGATTCATGATTCAAGCATGCAAGGGCTCTAATGTGTTATATTGAGTGGGCCACTAAGGGTGGCAATTTGGTAATAAGTCCAGTTCATGTAATTTAACACCATTAATCTAATTTAATCATACCTAATCAGTTTTCAGATAATTATACCATAAAATCACATTAATTATGAGGATCCTAAAACATCAATCAATTCCCGGTTCGGCCGCCGACAAGGCCTTCAATTAGCAGTTTAAACGTAAAACACGAACAGATCAAATAATCAATCAAACAGATAGATGCACAATTAAACAGATAGACTCAGTCAATTAATTCCAGATTCCAGTCAGTCAGTTCAGTACTTTAATTAGTCCAATTATCAGTCATAATCAGTCATTAATCGGTAAACAGTATGAGGGTTGTTACATAAATGCAACATGGTAAATTTTCACCGATAGCCAAAATAGTTATCTCTAACATATTAATTAAAAGATAACAACATGGACATACAATCCAACATATAACTATAACTTGGAATCTCCCATGATTCCCAAAATTTAGAAACAAATCATATTCCACATTTTATTAAATATGAACAACTACACAAGTTTTCATATCACAATCACGTCCGGTAACCTCTCAAGGTCCATTTCTAACCGTGTCGGTTTTATTCCAACAAATACATTAAGTAAAATAATACCGTTAATGCCCAAGAAAACATCATTTTCTTTCCAAACTCATTTTCCAAGCATTATTCAACTATGACATCCTATTTTGATCGAAAGCCCCAAAAGTTAAACGTAATTCCTTTGTTTTCTTTAAAAATGCTCTTTTGGCCACAAACCAGTAAAAATTTCAAAACCAATCGAATCGAAGTCCGTTTTTGTTCAAATTAAAAAAATAACTCTTTCATAACCTTACAAACATATTCCAAGTTTACACTTTCGCAATTTCGGCATCAACTTTTTATTTTTCTCAAAATTTCTCTTTTAAGTAAATAAAACACAAATTTTCCAAAAATTTTAATTAAATTATATACAACTCTAAACTCCATATAATCAAGCAAAAGTGCATAAAGAAGTGTAGAAAAAATCTCTACTTAACAATTTACACAATATTCCTCAATATCAATTTATTTTTCCTCAAAAAAAAATTTCAAAACTCAAGGATGAGATAAATATTTCAACATTAATTTCTCAAAATAAATTATCTAACCATAATATGATGTAGATATAATCCATACAACTATTAAATTCTATTTTCAGATTTATTTTACAAATTAACAACACAAAATGATTTTCCCAAAATCAATCTCAAAATACCAACATTCTTAACATTTCAACATAATTTTTCTTCCAAAAATTACCAAACAAAAATCTAAAAATATATCTATATGCAATACCTCTTATAATGATATATTTTCTCAAAATAACCCTAACATAGCTTTAATGTAAAAATATGAAAAAAGTCCCTACCTCAAATAAAGAAGAAAAGCAAATCTAGAAGGCAAACATCGCCCGATCATGAATCCGAGATCACCATTGCGAAGATCACGACGAGTTCTCCGACTTTTATTTACAATACTTTTATAAAATCTCACTCTAAACTCAAAGATTGAGCATTAATGGAGGAGAAAAAAAAGCGAGAGAGACAGAGAGGGAGAGAGACATTGTGAGAGAGAGGGAGAGAAAGAGAGGATCCAAAGTGAGAGAGAGAGAGAGAGCAAAGCAACTCTCTGGAAAGCAAAGCATGGCAAAGGGATGGACAACCCCATGTGGGGGTTTGTCTTTTTGTTTATTTTTATTTTATTATTTTCAAATCAATACAAATATCTAACTTTACATATACATCAATATATATATATATATATATATCAATTAAAAGTATATTTCAATATCATTAATGACAAAAAGAATATAATATTTTCTCATCACAAAAAATATTTCGTTTAATGGTATACACCATAAATATTCACAACTCTTTTATGGTAGTCAAATAATAATAATAATAAAACCACAACACTATTACATAGTTACTAATGGGTCACAATTCAATCAATTGGATCTAAAATGAATGGAGTTTAATAATTTAAAATAAATCCCCAACCGATTTATCTCAAATCATGGTCCGAACATCCAAAACTCAATTTTAAATTCCGCTATAAATTAAACTGAACATCAATCAATCCATGAATTTTCATAAAATAAATGCTCATCATTAAATTCTGAAATTTTTATCCAACGTGCTAGACTCATATGGGAACAACATTTAAAATTTTCATAATTTTCTGAGATCGGTAACTATTTTAAAAAAATACAAAATAGAACTGTTTTCGTACAGAATTTACACAGCACTCAAATTTGAAAATTTGCTCAATTAAATTATGCACTAGCTATTTTTTTTTTTTTAAAAAAATCTAGGTTACTACAAGCATATTTTATTTTGTATTTTTTCTTTAAAAACTCTCAAAGTTCCTTTGCCATCTTAATAGGATTGTAGACGTTGTATAATGTGTTGTCAAGTCCGTTCAAGATGTAGTTCCGGCAAAGGAAATCAGCATTTTTTCAGGCATCAACCCCCAGCAACCACTTGCCGATCCGTTTCATCCTCTTTTATAGTAGGAGCATTCTCATGGAGGAAACACACCAAGTTTAGAGTAGTAAGATAAAACAGCATTTTCTGCTATCATTTTTTAAAATTAGTTCCTAAGAACTTCTCTGACTTCTCACCATGATTAACTAGCATAGTCATAACAGGAGGACGGGTTGGAGCAATTGCAGCCATCATACCAGTACTTGTTTGAGCATTAGTTTCAATAGCCATGAATTCTAAATTATAAAACAAAATTATAATTAGAATTTTATACTACACAAATAATTTAAACCATAAACACATAATTTAGTTCGGTAAGAATAAAAGAAACAAGAATTGTAACTTTTATTTCCAATTAATTTGAAAATAAAAATATTTATTTAAACAAATTAATTCCACACAGAAAAATATTTCTGTAACACTTCAAAAATTAAAATGTTAAAAACAGAATTTTAATTAATGAAAAACTCAGAAATTATTTCTAAAAACCAAAATTAATTTATGACTGACTTTACAAATAAATATTCTGAATTGTTAATGACTACCAGTATATTACTATTAGTTGTCAAAGAAAATAAACAATATATTACTACTATTTGTCAAACAACATATTACTACTATTTGTATTTTCCAACTAGGATATTATTTTTGTAAAACCAAAAAAAATAATTTCTATAAGAAGAAGAAAAGAAGAAAATGAAACAAACAAAAAATTCTATATAAACAGAATAATTCGAATCTGTCTTAAGATTGTTGGAACAATCTTCTGTGTAAAATAAATAATGTGAAATCAAATCAAACAAATAAAAATAAATTACTTACAGAATTTATTTACCAAAACAACTTAACAATAAAACGATCAAGTTGAGTGTGTGACACTCTGTCCTTGAGACAGATTCGCCCCGATTCGGTGTTTACGGATAAATGGCGTCTATCTCCCAGGATACAATGATCTTTTCACAAATTGTAGTAGCACTCCAAACAATCTATACGGCGTTATATATTATATAATTTATTTGTTCAATAAATAAAATATTAAAACTTGAAAATGATGCTTATTACTTCTCAAAAAAGATTGTCTAAGAGGGATTGCTTAGGTTACACAGTAAAAATGTTATAGACCACAAAAATATATCACAAAAACCATATTGAAGTTGTGACAAAAATAGTTAGAAATAAATACTAGTAACAAAAATTAGCATAGGATCCTCTATCACTAATATGCTACTAATTGTACTTCAAAATTTTCTTATTTTGAGATTCCCACATTATGTTAGTGAGAGTGCATTGAAATATTGAGAAAGTAACATACATTGGCACAAGAACCTCTATTCCAAAATTCCATCTCCCAGCCATATAATCATACCACAAGCATTAAGAGAGAGAGACGGTGTTCATTTTATTGAATAAAATTGTGTATAAAATAACAAGACCTTGGGTCTATCTTGTCCTACAACTACAGAACCATATTTCAACACAATACCATCTGCACAAAGCCATATGAGAGGATTATTTGAACAACATACTTCAATGGTCCACATTGAGAGGGAAATAATACAGATTGTGAGAGAAAGAACTACTACTTGTAAACTATAGAAATGACCTATCTACAAAAGAAATACTTAAATGTGTGACTTTAATCTCAGACAAGAGATATATGGTTTGATGAATAATTGTATCCTACACACTCTCATGACATGATTTCCCGGTCTGCTCTTTCCCATGCTCAACAGAACATAATGACTGCTCGTTCATTTGTACGTGATTCATATGGAATCTTTAACTCCCCCGAGAAGATGTCTTGTTGAGAAGAGTTGCATCGTTTTGCAGTCAATCCGCTGTCAAGCTGAACCAATAGGGTTCAGAGAATCTAATCCTCTGCCTCATTTCTCTTCCAAACTTATGGTAGAAGAAAGTTTCTCTTGCAAGGCTTCAAGCAAATCTAGATATTCAGCAAATGCCGGGAGTGACTGGACAAGGAGTACATCAAGAAAGGAAAGTGAGGCACACAAATGAATAGCCACCGTAAACAAGCCAATCTTTGAGAGACGTATGTACCCCCAGAGTCACACGCTATAAGCTTTCCACAACTGCATATCATGCTGAAATAAATCAAAAAGAACCTGTGCAGCATCACACGAGTGATAAAGCATAACGGAACAAAAACATTAGTAAGACATGTAAACATGATTAAACATTTCCTTCTATAAATATTTCCACGGCAATTGTACCTCGGATCGTCTTAAAAGAGTGGCTAGGATGACTATTTGCTCTTTGAACTTGACAGAGCACATATGAGCCAAAAGAAATTCCGCATCTAACCGACCCTGCAGTGTGCCCATTTGAAGCTGGAAATATATATGAGACAAGTCAATCGTCAGAAAACAATATCCAACTAATTTGCGAGCTTTCATTGACTCGCTAATTAGTTAGTCAAAGAGAGCATTACCTTCTCGAGTCAAAAGATTGCCTCCTGTACCTAGAAGGGAAAAGAAAATAGCTCAAGAATCTGGGTGACAGTTTGTATGAATCTGCCACCGAAGGTTCATATTCCCCCCCAGATCAAAAAATTGGAAGAATTAACCATCTTACTGAAAGAGGCATAAAGTCATGTCAAAACTTATACCAGCTTCCCATCAAGTTCATATAAAGATTCGTCTAGCGCTGCCTGCACAATTTGGAAACTCTTTCTCAGGCATATGACATAATCAAAGGCGAGTATGGCAACTATAAGCAGTGCTTACCTGTAATAAATGTAAAGCACAGTGTTGACTAAAAGCAGGACCCTCAAGTTTAGCGGTCACCTGTGGCAGCAAAAGTAGTACAAGATAAGATTAGCAATTTGAAATTAAAGGATGGGATTTTAAAAAGTTGATAAGCAATGGAACTTAGCTTATCTAGAACTTCTTCCTTGAAATATGAGTTTTTTCAAGACATAAGTTGTCCTCTATTGTTACATGGACACTTCTAAATGAAGTACCCACGTTGGACACTAGACACTCATTGCCTGCTACTTGTACTTGTGAAACTTTATTGATCTAGTAGACTTGAACACTTTCAATTTGTTAAACCAATGATAGACGAACTGAATACCAATTCGATCAGTTCACTAAGAATAATGTCATGTTAAAGACGTAAATATAGTGAAGATAAAATTGTAATTGGACTAACTTTACAATAGAGAGTCACAGAAGAGACTTTAATCTTTTCGTATTTGGAACAAAAAAAAAATTGGGGAGGGGGGGAACTAACGAAAATTTGTGAAATTCCTCTAACCCTAAAGCTTGAACATAATCAACTGAGATGATTTAGTACTTACAAGTATATAGTAAGTTGTTGTCTAGTACTATCTCAGCTGGAAGCATTCCTCAAACAACCTAGAGAACAGAAAAATCAAGAAATCCACTAGCAATACAATTTACGTGAAGTAAAATCAAGAGAAATCACATGCTCCGTTGATCTTCCGGCAGAAGAAAACAAATCCACCCAATGTCAGCCATCAGTTTTTCTTGCAACGCTAACCACCACATCAAAGTACTCCAAAAAATTCTTAATTAAATCACAAGTCTTCTCCAAAAGAGAGGAGTTGGTACCATGCTTAAGAACTAAGATATGGTTTTTATTTGCACTCTGTATGTAAGAAAGTAGTTAAAACCAATCAAAAATTATAACATGAAAATATAACCCATGGTCGAGGCATATGAAAAACAAAAAATGTTAATAGAAAATGCCAGTAGCAGAACTCCCTAGCGAAACACCCTTACTCACCCAAGACCCCAAGATCCCATGCCAAAAATGATATACCTCTCACCCCAATCACAACAAGATGGATTACATTTTCTTGGCAACAAACATTTACAAATAACTCCCCTTACAAAGGGAATTTTTTTTACTAAACAATTGTTTAGATCAACAAAAACAGTGGACCTCTCAGTTAGAACAGTAACTAGGGTGGTAAGCTCAGTAGCTCACTCACTTCAGCATCAGTTTAACTTCATGTAATTCCCAGCACCATCTCAACCCAGCAAAGCCACCACACCACTACTTTCAAAGCACCAATTCACTCTCAACCTGCAAGCAAATATAACCTAGCATGAGAACTCCATCTTTATGCAGAGTATTATAGCACCTAACCTAAATTAACAAGGAGATCCATGATTAGTGATCATGCTCTAAGAACTCGGATGCATCAACTCTGAAAATCCTAAGTGATTCATGATTAGAAAAATGGCAATAAAATTATATAAGAACATAAATTCTTTAATCATATGCATTTAGTTTAGAAAGCCAGATGCTTTAATCATTACAAAAAATCTCACTATGTATGAAGCATTATATAGCGATCCCGGTTGTCCCTTTACTGTTCTGTTGTATTCTGGACTCGGTTCCGTGGAGTTGGTAGTTGTATCTATCTTGTTGTCGTCCTTTAATTCCATTTGTTTGAGTTTTAGGATGTGTTGGGCATGTTTCGAACAGGTGGGTTGAACCTTGGTCTAAAAATCTTGCTGCCAGGTTTTTGGTTGTTCCGCTCGAGCAGGACTTGTTACGCTCGAGCGGAGATTGCACACTCCCAGTATTTCGTGTCTCTGCAAAACTTCTGCAGGTGTGATTTTTACACTCGAGCAGGTTTCTTTACGCTCGAGCGGTAGCGCTCGAGCGAGTACTCTGGCGCTCGAGCGGGTAGTACTTTTTGGTGTAAGTTCTGGGAGGGGGAAATCTACGCTCAAACGGACTGGTTTTCGCGCTCGAGTGGATGTACTTTATTCTTGTGTCTTGGCGCTCGAGCGGGCCTTCTTGTGCTCGAGCGTACCTAGTTTTTTGTTCTTGACGCTCGAGCGTTGTGTTCTCCGATCGAGCGGAAATGTCGTATATCAGTTGGCAGCTAGGCATTTTAAAATCACTTTTTACATTCTCTCTCTCTCTCTTACTTTCTAAAAAGCTATTTTGAGAGCTCCTCTCTCTAGAAACTCCCTTCTCTCTAGGGTTTGATCTAGTTAGAGTGTCTCACTATCCTCCGGCCTTTGTAAAAAGCGTGTTGATCGTCAAGGGTTTCGTGTTGATCCAAGAATCGTGATGTTTGGAGCATTTTCACTTTCTTCTCCTTCTCCGTTTGAGCTCTAACTTCGAGGTAGGGATATCCTACTCCTTCTCATGAGTTTTGTCTTTGAATTTTAGTATTTTGATGAGTTGGGGGTTGTTGGGTAATTTTGAGAAAGTTTGGGCCTTTGTGTAATTTTACAAAAGTTGGGGTTTTGTTTATATAAACTTATATGCATGTTTGGCATAGAGAAATGAGATCAATATTGAATTATTGGTGAAAATGGAACCTTAGGGTTGTGATGTTAATTATAGGAAATGCTCTAATTACATTGATAAATTAATTGGTATAGTTAATTTGAAGGAAAGAAGAATTAAATTAAAAATGTTGGAATTGGATGTGTATGGGATTAAAGGGTTTAGTTTGATTCGTTCATCGCTCACCTAGTTGAAATGTTGATTATATATCCATTTGGTGCATTTATTTTCAGTAGAGAAATAACTGCTCTGGGCTATCGGTGGAGGATAGTCTTGATTGTTGTAGACACTGTATGATGATTAGGCAAACTAAAACTAATCAATTAAGTAAGCCATTGAATATGGTGATTAGTACAATACAACACTAAAATGTGTATTGATAGGTTGAATTTGTATATGATAATTGTTTATATACATTGTATTGTGTGGGAGGAGAAAGGGACTATACTCCACGGTTTATTGGAAGAAAGGGGCTAGACCTCTAAACCGAATTTTGGGTGACAGTGATACAACACTACAATGCGTATCAGGCTGCGAATTTGAAGTGTTTTTGTTTCATTAATACAGCACTACAATGTGTATTATTTGAGACTTATGGAAGTGTTTGAATTGATTTGATATAGCACTAAAATGTATATCGTTATCAATTGTAAAGTATAGAAGTGAATCTATGTTATGTTGATACAGCACCGAAATATGTACCTTTCGCAAAGTGTGGGAATGGTTTATGTGTTATTGATACAGGATTAAAATGTGTATCCCTCATGAATTTTGAAAGTGTTTTAAAGATGAGTCTAAATCTCATTAAGTTATTTGGCTAGGTGTTGAGCCTTGTTTTCAAACTCAAAGTTGGAAAAGACATGGGAAATGAAATGTAACATGGACTTAATGTCATGAAATCGAAATGTGATATATGTGGATGTATCTGTGTTGACCATCTATCAACTGCGAATTTTTAGTCATTGTTTATGGCTGGTTTAGTGTATTTCTACTGGGCTGTGGCTCACCTTTTATGAGACATCATTTTCAGGTACAGGTAGCATGCCACCTCCAAGACATAGCTTGGGAGGCTAGAGGCAGACAGACTGCTTTGTTATTTGCTTTCTTTTGATGTATTACATGTAAATTCAAGCCAAGGGCTTAATATGTATTGAGTTAGCACTCTTCTTTTTGTAACCAAGTGTTAACTTGGAAAGCTGTAAGCCCGTAGGGCATTTGCTTTTGTTGTTAACATGTAATACTTTTGTAAAAACTTTTTAGATTAATGGAAAGATGATTGGTTTCTTTGTATCAATGCATGTCTAAGTTTATGGGTTTAATGTTATTATTTTGAGGGCGTTACACATTATTTTCTCCTCTTATGATACTTCTAGTCTGAACAAGAAGTATCACACCTTGAATGAAGATTGACAACAAGAAACCATAGGGGTGCACACTTGCCTCTCCCTCTATTAGATGAGATAATATTAGTTTGAATACAAATAAATGTGTATAAATTGATGCTTTACTCAAAAAGCATCTGATAGACACAATTACGCCTTGCCCACCTACCCAAAAAACACAAAAGGTTACATATTATACATTTTGTCTTAACCAGAAGAAAGTTGTACAATATTGGCTTACCCTAATTTGGGTGAGACCATGTCTATTTATAATCAATATAAGATACACAGGAAAAATGAATTAAATAATTACACAATCAAATCCCAAAAATCAAATTCCTAAATAACTGTAATTTATAGAAATCACGAGATCTCCTAAATATACAATATTCTGTAATCCAACACTCCCCCTCAAGCTGGATCAAAGATGTCAACCAAACCCAACTTGCCAATGGAAGATTGAAGTAGGGATGGTCCGACAGATTTGGTGAAGATGCCAACAGTCTGATCAGAAGATGGAACAAACGAGGGACATACAATACCAGCTCAAACCTTTTCCCAGATGAAATGAATATCAACTTCAATATGCTTAGTATGCTCATGAAGCACAGAGTCAGAGGCAAGTAAGATGGCAGACTTATTATCACAAAATAGCTTGGAGGAATTATTCTCCTCAAAGCCTAACTCAATAAGAATGGACTGAAGCCATAGTAACTCACATGTCCCATGAGCCATGGCTCGGTACTAGGCTTCAGCAGATGATCGAGAAACAACCGCTTGTTTTTTGCTTTTCCATGACAGAAGCTGGGTACCAAGGAAAGTGCATACCCTAGAAGTGGGATGTCTGTCAGTCAATGAACCTGCACAGTCTGCATCAGTAAAATAGGACAATTCTATCTGAATCCCACCATTGAAGAATAAACCCAAACCTGGACATGACTTGAGATATCTCAAGATGTGGTGAACAACATCAATGTGAGCAATACGAGGTGAATGCATAAACTGACTAACCACACTCACAGCAAATGTCAAATCTAGTCGTGTATTAGTCAAATAGATCAAAC